TATATATATATATATATATATATATATAAGAGGCTGAGGATAAATAAGAATATTCCTTGGCTGCAACAGCCCTTAGTTCTAGGTAAACTGGTGTAAGATTACACTTTGTGAGTTCATAATGGCAGTGAAATCTGGACCAGAGATTTCCTGAATTCATAGTTCCACTTCTGGCTGCAGTTGTATGGACATACAGGGGTATGAGAACATTACCTGTTGAATTTAGTGCAGCTTTCTTCTAAGTACATATGAATGTGAGGTGGTTATGCTGCAGGTGAAAGGACAATAACATGTCAATAAATTGAGATTAATCAGATCAATTGGATGTTTTGTGATTTTATTGCTAGGACTGGACTTTTAAAGTGAAGCGAGCTACAAACCAGATAGAAAATCCCACCTAAGTTGCTGTAAGGGAATGATGTAAAATTCTCTTTGCTGCTTGTATTCCTCTGAGATTTCCAGGGCTTTTTTTCTTGTAGCCTATTATTAAACATTATTTGTAGTTGTTAGGTGTTTTTTCTCTCTAGGGTCTTTCCTGTGGATGCAAAGCAACTTTTCCCAACTCCAGAAATGGGATATGAAAAATGCAGGGGGCCAACAGTGTAGAACTTTCTGTCCCCCACCCAGAATATGCCAGTCAGAGTGTTCAGGGTGGGGATGGTTCCAGAGGTGCATTAGTTGGTGCAAAAGGTAATTTGCAATGTTTTTGCCTTCTGTTTTATTTTTCATTTTTCATTTTATATTAGCAATCGATAGCCACTGAGTGTTCCTGCCCCCAAGTTCACTCCTAATTATTTGTTGGGTCTCTTTGAACTTTCAGATTTCCTCACATCTTCTGACACTCCCTGTTTTGTATGTGAATAGTGCCACACATGAGAAAATAGTATATAGTGGTATATAGCATAGTGTCATTCCATCTTTTTAAGAATTCGGGGAAGTATTTAAGTAACTATGGCTTGGCCAAGCCTGTTCCCAGTAACTTTCCTATGGAGCCAGTATAAAACTTGGGCTAGCCACAATCAAATATTGGTGGACATCTGCAGTTTCCATTTTGCTAGGCAATGAGGTTTGAGAATAGCCTTCCCCAACCTGACACTCTCCAGATGAGTTGGATTACAGTTCGCATCAGAACCAGCAGCAAGTTCTTCAAGGCAGTCAGAGTGTAAATTCCAGGAGTGCATCTACCCGCCTTTGGACGCTTAGTTGAACCCCGAAATGCTGGAGGGTCTGCTTCACCATGTTTCTTCCATCAAGCAACCTGTTCTAGCCTTTTGTTTTTGTACTTGCTTTTTATTAATAATGGCTTAAAAATAATAGGCAGTTTTGTGGGTCCTTGATTGTACAGTGAAAATTAGTGTGGCAAATGTCTGCGTGGCTGCATGCATACAGCTCTCAGTCTGGTGACAGAATTAGCCCATTTGCTGGGTCTGCACCATACATTGTGCCATAAGGTAACCAAAAACAAGGATGAAGACAAACTAGGTTAGCTTGTTGTAGAGCCCACTGACTTGGCAGAAAGTGCTGTGTGAAGGTGGTTTGTTTATATATTTATTCAGTTATAAGCAACTCTAGGCAGCATACAACTTATCAGAATAATAAAACAAGTGGAAAATCCTAATAAAAACTGTATTACTGTATTGAAGAAGGAAGCATCAGAAACCAAGGAATAAGATCCCAGTATTAATCCGGGGTCACAGAGTGCCCTGTTTATGTTGTATGTAAAAGATTTTACATAGAACTTCAGTATTTCCTTTTTTGGTGCCACGTAGGTATGTTGGGCTACAATGCTTAACAACTAGGGATAATGGCAACCATAATCCACACCTTGGATGGTTCTTAGGAAGTTATTTCACTAGAGATCCCGTTTATCCCCATTTGTTAATTGAGCGCTTTTGTGTTCTATCCACGAATGAGATCTACGCTGCCAATAGGAAAATGAAAATAGTGCAGGAGGCAATGCTATTACAGCATATGTTTATGTAAATATGTATAGATCTAATCATGATACATAAATATGATACAAAGGGTCACTGACTAACACCTTAATTATGTGTTTATTGGAGGCTCACTTTTATGAAATCTGTTCCTTTTTTGTCGTCGCTGCTGTAACACTGTTTTCTTCCTGGAGGCTCTTCGTGCATAGTTCCTCTCCTCGTAAAATGTAATAAGAATATAAGAAATGTATTGGGTAAGGGGGAAGAAATTTTACGGATATCTTGAGGCTAACTAATTAGACTTGACCCATCTCTCTAATAGGATTTTGCATTTTGGGGGAGTTCTGACGGGTGTGGCTGCGAAAGAGATTTGCTTATTCATGCTGCAAAGGAATAATTGGCAACCGGTTAGGGAAATGCCAGGCAATCTCATAGCTGTTCCCAGAGGCTGAGGGCCAAGCAGTTGCCCTCTCAAAGTGGGGAAGGGGGAGGGTTGCCTGCTGCTAAGTTGATTCCTTGATTCTCTGGATATCTTGGATTATTGAGTGGTGGTTCCTCTCACAAGGTTGAGCTGCCGTTTCTGCCTCTAATAGCAGGCTGTCTCTTTTTGCTGGCCTAGCAAACGTGTCATAGGTTGATCTTAAGGCTGAAAGAAAGTGGCTCATAGATTTTATTCTTGACTTCTAGCCTTATGAATTATCACCTCCTTCAGTGTGCTCTGGCTTCCAAGTTTGTTAATTGCAGTCATGATTTTGATCTTCCAGAGGAGTGAATCAGCAGTTAGTCAGTCAGTCTGATCTGTCACATCCAGCAAAAGGGTTTTATGCTTGCTTGATGGATATTTGAAGCTTGTTTCTTCTGTTCCTGAGGAATCCTGCAGCCCAGTATTTTTCCTTTGATTGCAGGCTTCTGTGATCATGAGCCGAAGTCTTCCCCTGTTCTTATGATCTCTTGTTGTCAAAAACTGAACTTGGAATTAGCGTGTAGTACATAGTATAGGTCTTCTGCCACTGCAGCTAACATGGCATTATAATTATATAAAAGTTAGATCTGGAAGAAATAAATACACAAGGCTTAAACATCTCAACTGCTTTGACCATGGAGAGCATGTCTCCCCTTAGCCTGCCAAGCCATACCTGATAAAAGTGGAAGACGTTTAATCTGAAAAGTGAAATCTGCAAAAAGGGAGGGAAAATCTTAATGCCAGCTTTATGGCAGTAGCTGATGTGTGGCAAACGTTTCTCTGCTACCAAGTGTGTTTTGAACTGAGATGTCTTCTGCATTGCTCTTGACAATTTTATTTTTCTTGTAGGGCTCAGGAGTAGTTAAGGCTGGCTTTGCTGGAGATCAGATTCCGAAATACTGCTTCCCGAATTAGTGAGTATTGTCGCAAAACTTGTCTCATAAGTTGTTGGATGTAGAAAGTTGGGAACAAGATATATTGAGGAGGTTAGGTGGGTGGGGTATTGGTGCTCAGTTGTAAAGGGTCACACGATGTAATGATATGTGGGAATGACCTTTGGAGACAGGGCAAAGAGATGTAACCCAGGGAATGATCAGCTGAGCCTGCAGCAGGAATGTGGGCAGGGCGAGAAGCTCAGAAGGGACCCTCCTTAGTTTCTTGGGCTATAAAAGAGACGGGGGGGAGGATTGTACTTTCAGACTTGCAAGATTCTGTTGATGTAGCTTTACAATAAAGTAGGATTAGCTCGTCTGGTTGTGTTTCTTGTCTGGTCTACCCTGTAAAGCTGACACACACTCATGTGCAGAGCTAATTGATAATCACTCTCTTTCTTGCTAGTGTGGGCCGCCCAAAGCATGTCCGGGTTATGGCTGGGGCACTTGAAGGAGATCTCTTCATTGGACCGAAAGCAGAGGTAAATCCCATTCACAGCATCTCTGTGATGGCTGACTCCCTCTTCTCGGTATATTCTTTTGTATATGACAAAGGTCTCTTGAGATCCTGTCTCATTCAGTTGATTTGTGTGTGTGTGTCTGTCTGTCTGTCTGTCTGTCTGTCTGTCTGTCTATCTATCTATCTATCTATCTATCTATCTATCTATCTATCTATCTATCATATTTATACGGCCACCCATCTCACAGAATGTAGCTCTGGACGGCATACAATAAAATCACATAATAACAATTTTAAAACACGCTACCATTAAAAACATTGATGTTATTATTAAAAGAGGTTAAGCGAGGGCATTGGATATTAGGAACGGTGGAGCCACCTCAGCAGATCACCGTTCCCTTGAGACCTCCAGGCCTGTTGACATAGCCATGTTTTGAGGGATTTCTGAAAGGATGGCAGAAATATTCATATTCTTTCATCTTTATACCTATAAAAACCTAACTACTGTTATCATATATAATAACAAACATTCCATAAATTTAATAACAAATATATTTTAACCTTAGTAAACTTTATACACAGATCCTTAAAGCATCGTCATTCAATCCTGGTCACAAAAAGATCCCATTAATAACTACCAAAAGACTCAGCATATATGTTAACCATAGTCCAATAAGTTCATTTTTTAAACCTTCTGTTTACTTTTGAAGAGCTTAAACTTTAATCCTTTCAAATAATGTCCCACAAGGTGATTCCCCATTGTCTCCTTGTCTTCTCCCAAAAACATTCCCAATAATTTCTCTTTGTCTCTTTCCAAGAACACTCTCACTGATTCCATACATTCCTTTTAGAAATCCAAGATAAGAAATCTTTCCAAGTCACTCTTCTCCATTATTTGTATGTCCCATTTAAACATTGTAACATCAATCGATTCCATTTGTAATTCCATTTTGGCTTCTTTTTCCATCTCACTCTTATCTTTTCGTTGTCTTAAATCCATGTTCGAATCCACAACTTCTTTATTCATCCCACCTTCATAGTTCCAACATTTTTCTGAACTCCAATCTCCACCTCTTTTTCAAAGTTAACCATCTTATCCTCTCTTTCCTCTATCTTTTTTTTCAAGGAACTTGAATTTAGCTCCTTGTTCATCGAACATTAACTGGAGTAAACTTAAAGGAGTTATTTTATCTTCTAACGATTGCTCTAAAGGACCTCTTCTAGCAATTTTTGTTTTTGCCCAAAGCACTGTTTACACAAGTAAAACATATAGCTGGATAGAGTTAATTACAAGTGAAAATAAACTGACAGTTCACGCCCTCTAGTGTCTTTCAAATTGAAGTTGCAGGGGCGCATCAAAGAAAAACATACACTACAGGGATCAAGTTGCAGTCTTCTGTTTTAGAAACCCAGCCAATCAACAGACATAATCTACAAAACAAAACATAACGAAAAACTTTCCCATGGAAAAAGCAAACCTCGTCACTGCAAATGGAGTTTCATTAAAAAATAAACTTCTAACAAATACATCTTCTCTTTTCACTGTAAATAACGTTTAAATGTCTTTTAAATTCCGCTTGTCATCCAGCTTTTTGTGAATGAATCAGATTCAAATTAAAGCTCTAATTTTCCTTTTAGAAGTATAGTCCCCAAAATAAGGATAAGCCCCAAGAGAATTACTTATCTGTTGCAAAGGAAGGTCTTTCCTAGACTGCAAAAAAGTTATACTCCACTGTGTTCAGAAATGGGGTTCGGTCTGCTCTGGTGTCCATAAAAAAGGCTGTGCCACGGCTTCGAACAAAGGTGGATCCCCCACCTCCCAGTTGTTTGACTCCAAAGCCATTGGCAGAAGGTTCCGTCTCCGCAATTAGCTTTTGAGGAATGGCCGTCCGGAGATGATAGGGGTAGATTTCCTCACTTCCTTCTTAATCTGGAGCAAAGTTGGGTGGCCAGCACTTGCTGCCGGCCACCAATCCAGCTGCGGTGTTGTCTTCCCCCTGTGATGGAATGGAATTATGAAGGCCGAGGTCAGGGAGACAAACATTTTCTTGGCTCGCCAAAACCGCGTGGGAGGAACAAGAGGATGAGATTGGCACCTCCCTGAGGAATTCACACTGTTGT